ATTGAATTAGAACAAGACGTACAAGACGTTGAGGATCATCGTCAGTACAGTAACACAGAGCACATTTTTGTCACTAGAGCGCCGCTCTAAGATTGCCATCTTGAGTAGTAAGGCAAACCAATACATCTGCGCAAGTATTGCTTCTTCATTCGATAAGTCTTTGCTGTGATTCGAAATCAAACCAACAACTTGAGCAATTGACTTTCATTTAAACAACGAAACACAAATACTTACACCCCACCCAAACCCTTCTTGGACTCCTCTCCAGGAGTAGAAGCTCAAAATTGGGCTGGAAAAGATGATATGAGATGGACCTTTTTTTTCGAAACCGTACACTACAACTTTAATGTTTTATTAAATTTCGAAATGATATATCTAATCTCTACTTGACCATACCTGTAGTCATTCTGCATAGAAACAATTTGAGCAACGAAACAGCATGTTTAAAAGAGAAACTTAATTTTGAGAACAAAAGTCTAATTGTAGTCCGACTCGGAGAACCCAAGAGAACGACGTCTTCTCCGAACATCATCATGAATGGCTCCCAAATTTTCGTATGAGGAATCAAGGTAAAAGCATTTTTTCTCGCCATCAATGTTGACAACTTTTGTGTTCTATAAATGCTTCATGTAACGGAACCAATATACGTTAGACTAACCTTCGAGGCTTGCGCCCACCACACTGAAATCCATATCGACACGAAGGTACCCAATATCTGGAATATTGTAAGAATCATTCCGAATACATAATTTTTCGATTACCAAAATGAGAATCCAAATGACAAACGGCCAAAGTGATATGTTCGGGAACATATGACGACCGAATTTAACACATATTGTAGCTTCTAACGCACACACAGCCAAGTAAACCCAACATTGCATTCCCAATCGTTTAACAAGGGGATCAGTGGCATATAAATAATATTGTCTAAAAAACTCGAATGATCCCTAAAATAATTAATCTCCTCACCGAATGGAAGGGGCTGATATGAGAGCTATGAGAATTATTCTCCAAAATACAACAGGGTGTTTTGTATCAACTGAGAACACATGTTTCATGAAGAAAGTATTCAATTCTGTGAGCTATAAAACAACTTGATTGAATTGGAGAACTCAACTTCAAACAAACGAGCCAAATAAGAACGAATAGGTAGACCGCAATCGTTCTTTTCAGTGCATGAGTGTTAAACCAATCTACTCTAGTCCAACTCTCTGGTGTGAATTGTAAGACAGCACGTTTGAAACGCCCTCTATTTGTTTTAATATTTCTAAACAGTTTATTGTTCTTCGTATTATGTGCAAAACACTCACTTTATACTTTCCCAATGGAATTGTCTCATCTCCAAAAACTTACAAAGCTGTAGGCCGAACCAAATGCCTAGTCCGTTGCACAGAAGAATATCAAGCACGATGGCATCCCACCAACACTCAGCGAAATTGGGGAGTAAATGAGTGAAAACAACCTATAGAAATTATTAAAAAGATGTGGATAGTTAAAATACCTCAGTCATTTCCCATGCAATGCTGATGTACCAGCAAATGACTCCGTGACGTATTAGCAATGCTTTCATAGCCCACCCTAAGAAATGTCCAACAGCGAAAATATCCATATGACTCCAGATTCTTTCAGCTGTCATATCAGAACAGTTTATGGCATATTGCTACAATAAACGGAGCTTCTTTCTCTAAAAGGATTATTTACCTTCTCCTCCAAGTGCAATTGACTCAATCCTTCGGGATCAAGCCAGGATAGGACTTTTTTAATATCATCATAAGTTTGAAAGAGTGTGAATTGTAAGATCATCATGTACACAACAGACAACCCAAATATTATTCGCCACAGTAATGGATGAGGTCTGATAAAAGGGCCGTTTGGAAACGCTAGCGCACTAACAACTAAGAAAAGAGTGAGTGTACCCATCGCCCCATCATAAACATTTTCGGGAGTACTTTTGGTATGTCTGAATAGTGCCAATAAATAGATATGATGTCAAAATGCCAACCCGGTGAAAGCTTTATAGACTAGGAAAGCGCATAGAAGTCCCAATATTGTAAGGGTGTGAGGTTTATACAGCACATCTAACGTAATATCTTCTACAACACGCTCATTGACCATTTGGAAATGAACACGTTCGAGATCTTTGTGAGATCGAGAAGTTTTTCTCGAGAATCTGTAAAACAACCTTTTGAACATATAATTACAATCAGACGCACTTCGGTTTAGGTAAATCATGAGTCGGGCTTTCCGATTCAATTTTTTCCGTCCCCCCTCTTCGTCTGACAGGCGATTCACCCATTGTATTGAGAGATAATCTATAACAAAAACAGAGATGAGAGAAGACATACTGATAAAGGAAGAAGTAAGAGGAATCGGCAAAACCAAGAGCAGAAACAAGTCAAGGATTATATGAATAACTTTATTACATAAATATTTCTTAGTATAAAACGTACGAATCTTAAAAACTTGAAAGTTCGATGAGCACTGAAGGAGGTGAATTCGAAGAGAAAAGTGCGAATAGATAACTTCGTAAAAAGAGACCCGACTGAGAATAACATTTTAAATTGCAAAAAAGGCACATGAGAGAATATATGAAAATACTCGTGATATGACGATTCTATTCCAAAGGTGTTGTTGTTCTATCAATTAGAAAATGTCAGATTGAGAAAACAGAAAGTGATTACAACACCCAAGATATTCATCAAACGGAAAAAAAGAAGCAGTGGGAAAGAGGGAGAAAGTGTGGGTTTTAAGTGAAATAGTAAAATCACACTCTCCGAAAAAACGATAGGGATAACAGGTCGTTTCCCATAAAAGCAAAGAACCGCTTCAACATGTCTCGGGAGATGATATGGCCCCACACGGTTCTCCATCTGCCACTCATACTGCCACTTTGACACATATCATCTTACTTTCCTTTGGGGAACAGTGTACCTGGAAATTAGAAGAGTGAAATGAGACTTCTGTTTTGCAAATACCCTCGTGATTTCTCCAGGAAGCACCTTATTTACATAGGGCGGTAGACGCAGTATACGCGCAGATTTCAAAGCACCCTCCACAGTTTTGAGTTCCTCAGGCTAAACGAAGAAATAAAACTGAATCATGGACGAGATCTGACCTGCACATTTAGTTCTAATGCTTCGTAAGCCGCGAACCTAAGAAGACTGAAAAAAGCAGAACGATGGCTTGAAAAATCGAAGTCAATTGCATCTTGTAACTGAACCACATGTCTTTCAACAATCTTAAAAGTCTTTATAATTTATCTTTATTTGCTATTTATACCGCTTGATGCTCGATTGGCTCGCTTTGCTGAGTTACTACTCCAAGCCGAAAGTTGAAAGTAACACTTGGAATGTTTCGATTCAAAATGATAAAATCTCCTTCCGTAACTTCACAAACCTGTAAGTAATCAGGTGATATAATATGAAAGAATTTTTTCCCTGATCTTCTAGAAAAATGATACGAAAAGACAAAGCTTGTCGATGAACTTTTGCAATAACGATTGATAAGAACTAACTTTGTTCGAAACCGGAAAAGAGAAGACACCATCTTTGAAGACTTTGGTAAGAATAGCGTCTGAAATATATAATGACTTCCATCGGAAATGTATGAACTACTTGAGGATATGGGATCCACAGACATGTATATGTGTAGATCGGGATTAGTTTTCAATCCCTGCAGAAGTTTGCCTCCTTCGACTCCATGTAAGAACAAAACGGGAATAGTAATATCATCTGGTAAATTTTGATCTCCAGCCATCGCAAAATGCTGATAATGTTCAGAAGTTGTGTCAGGATTATGATCTGATATTTAAGGTCATACGGTATATATATATATATAAAAGAATTCACCAATTACAATCACCCCAATAGCACCAGCATTCTGAGAATTACGAGCTTTCTCTTGAAACATACAATCTGATCGTTCAACAAGAGCAATGCGACCCTTGACCTAAACCATAAGTTGTACTTTGAAAAACCATCAACAGTGCATACCTTATCGGAATTGGTCAATGACTTACATGCTCTATAAGGTTCAGCGATAGCAACCAATCCGTTCACCTGAAATCACAGATCAATTTTCACTGATAAAAGTATAAGACCTGTCCCATTTTCAAATCGTAGCCAAATTGAGCTGGTGATGCTAGGAAACGGGGATAGCCGTAAAATGGGCCTGACAGAACTTGTACGTAACGATCATTTCTTCCTCCAGAAGCAACTAAATATCGTATAAAAAACCCATATGAATAAAACATACCTTCCTTCTCTAAGTACTTATGATATTGTACCATTTCCTGCACAAACTCCATACCCCATTTGGCAAGATCAGCGTTAGCAGCCTGAACAATAGTAACGGGTTAATACGATTTCAAGAGGACTTCGGGTTAGATTTTAGACATAAACATTTATTCATGTAGTCACATCAGCAATAAATTCACCAGCTTAATCACCTAGAAAGACAACATGGTGGATAATTAATATTTGGAAAAATATTCTCTATCCTTGGTAAAAAAAAAATATATATATCGATATAAACATTTAACGTCTTATCACAATCTATTTACCCTTCGTTGACCCTATGACCTTGAACTTTGAAAGTAACAACAAAAAATATCACAAAGAGACCATGCAAAATAGAGCTCACTTAGTGATCACAAGAGATAAGGATAAACATAATCAAAGATATTTCTCAATTTTAAATTGGCAGAATTCATATTACGCTCCAGGCTATAACTTATAATACTAAGCATTCCATCGGAATTATCAACTATTTACATAAAATAAGACTAGAATGAAAGCCTCAATCACATTTCTGTCTGTTCAAAAATAATCTAGAAAGAAGCGCGCTGAGACAAATCAAAGCTGCAGCAATTGCTACAAGAGCAGCCCAAACTACTAAAACAAGCATTAAAAGGTGCATCATATGACCAATCTGAGCTGGTCCTGTGGATATAGAGAACGCCCTATTGCTGATTGACGAAGAAACACCAGAGTCGTCCACAATGCATATTACAACTTCACCCTGAAAGAACCTCAGGAGTCATACATAGCCGTTGCTGCATGAATTGTGTTCGACTACATGTGACACCCTCTAAAGGAAGCTCTGACTCAATTGCAAACACACAACAGTGGAAAAGGTAAAATGGAATTCTACGACTAAGTATTTGAACGACATCAATTACACCCCAGACACATCAACTATTTTCAAATCTCATTTTTAATTTACTTAATAAAGTACTCACGTTCGCAGCATTGTGCGTGATCTGCATTCTTCCATCGCTGAGAACTCCAACTTCAATGCCCATGTCACGTAAAACTTTTATATGGTCAGAGTTTGTTGCGGAAAATGCCCAGGCCCTGAGCCTTTCGGAACTGAAAATGCTGTGAAATATTTAGCCGGAGAAGAAACATACGGTTTGGCACACTGTGGTTGACTAGATTGTTGATTCAAAACAAAATATTCTTCCAACACACTCTTAGTTCTCTCACGGATTTCAGAAGCTTCTTCGGGCTCAAATTGCTTAGTGTCGACAAGAACAGGGTTCGCAGAGATATAAATCGAATCAATTACATCTTCAGGTCGAACAAATATTCGCCTCTGAGCACCCTGTACAAATGAATGGTTACTTTTTATAATTAGCGACCGCCATACGTTTTTCACTTCTCCCATATTCAAAGGAAGAAAATGAGCTTCAGTTGTCAGAACATAGTCATCAGGATTGAAAGCCAAATCTTCATTCTCAGCGAATATCATGTATAAGTACTTGAACGTCTCAGAAAGAACAAAAGAATCCATTCTGAAACTTATTACTCAAAAATTTGCAATTTTGACTCGCGAACCTATCCTCATGGTTCATAGTTCTGACATCTTTCACGCCTGCGAACCCGCACGGAACTTTCACGTAACTCTCAATACTGTCCATCACCTTAATAAGAACAGAAAGCAGAAATTGGGCTGAGATAATATAATAACTAACCAGCTTGGCTACTTCCAAATAATGTGGATCACGAGTAGCTCGGTACAAGAAGTATGTGCTTTCAATGAACTCTGGACGGAGAGGGTGCTCTCCCCAATGAACTTGGAAGTCGTGTGTGAAAGCTTCCGGTAGAAACTTATGTTTTTTCACAACTTGATAAAGCATTTCATGTGTTTCAATAGCTTTTTTAACATCTCCTTTTAATACCTATCGAAATACGAGATAAGAAGCTTTCTACTCAAGAACTAAAAACCTGTAAACCTGGCCAGAAAGCTAGAAGTGCATCCATGAAAGATCTTGTTGCTACGGTTGGTCTATGCATGTGGACGTCAACAAACAATGGTCCCTTATGAACATAGCGCATGATGGCATCATAGTGCTGAAATCATCTAATTAATCAAGAAAAACTCCTTGAATTTTCAACCTTATTGAAACGATCGAGATATCCTTTGTCACCCAATAATATATAAGCTTTCAAGCAATATTCATAATATGAGTCGATACCAGCTCCAATTCCACTTTCTAACAAAGTAAAAATTACATTGAACTAAGTAAAATAAACAAGCAACCGCTACAACAGAGAAATATAAAATGACGCTCTTTTTCAAAAAACTCGGAAGCCACGTGCAAATTTATGCTAATTTACCGACCTCTGCGCACCCAATCTCCTGAATGAACGTTCAGAACAGTTCCCATCAGATCGGAGCCTCTGTGACGTTGAGCCCATAGAAAATCCATAGCTTTGTGAGCCTATTTAAGGAAAAACAGAAATGAAAACTCGTAAACTGCTCACTTTCTGCTCGTATATCGGATTTCCCGTTAAACGTGACAGTGCCGCCATTTCAAGTAACATTGTACCTCCACAAGCCGTACAAGTATCCTTCTGTCGTTTCAAATATTCCAGCATACCATACCGCAAATTAATCTTAATCATAAATGAAATAGCTGAAAGACTCTACTGCTACCTACTCGACTGTACGGAATACCCGATGTTGTATTGAACGCAGGTAAAAGCCTATTAGCTATATCGACAGCCATTTTTAACAGCTGGTCACTATACCATTCTAATCGGGACGGAAAGCGATTTTTGACTAAATCTGCCATTATATGTCCTTAAATAGTTATGAGCCATACTAGAAGAGTCGATATGCAACAAACCTGACAGTAAACCGCCTAAAACTCGAATATTTGTTTCGAAAACAGACACAACAATATCAGAGTTAAATTGAACCTTGACAGTTAATTATATGTTCATTCTGCTATAGATATGATACCTGATCAACTACAAGGCGAACAGCGTTTTCAAACTCATCATAAGCACCCATAACAACTAATGTATCCAGAGTATCCACCAATGTGAGGGAAAAACTATAAAGCAAAATGGAAAAAAAAGTTGCAGCAAAATACTTACTTTCCTAAACTATCGTCGACATCTCCCCTGCTGGGGGTTATACCTCGTATTCTTCCCCTACAAGATAGCGGCATCAACTCATCTGCGGGGAAGGCATGGTCCATGTATGACCGGTAACCATGCATAAACAGCTCATAAGCTTGTTTTCTGGAAGATAAGATAGAAACCAAGAAGAAGAAATATAGCTTACTTCAACAAGGTTTTGTCGGTAGTAGTTTGATGGCATGTTCCCACTAATGAGAAACAGAATGTTAAAAAAAATAGAAGATCCATGAAACGATAAGTGTGATAGAATGTGAATATCTCTTTTTATAATAAATTAGCAATTTTTTAAAAGATTGCCATTTCTTTAATTATCTGAAATGAAAAAAGATTAGGAAAAGATGAAAACACTATATAACAGAAAAAGCGTGTCTTTTAAGGAACATCTGGGTCGATTAAAAAGATCGGGACAAGCACGCGCACACCATTGGAACGCGACGCGTTGAGAGCTAGTTGGGAATTATCAAAAGGGCAAACACAAACACAAACCATGTATTTTCACGGTTGGTATTTGTATGAGAAAAATACCATAAATGCATAATTCTAGATATACTCAGGTTTATTGAACCTGCTCTATGATAAAGCCACTACATAAAAATCTTATTATTCCTTATTAATATCATTAAGCATCAATTTCAATCTTCTGTGACATTCGTTCTCTCCGAAAAAATCCAGAAGTTCGGCTATCGGTGGTCCTGCATGACTATCAATCAAACTGATGCGTAAAGCTTGAAGAACTTTCGAATAGGGAAGATTTACCATTTCCCCTATGTTTTTAGCTGAGTTGACATCAAAAACGCCTACAAAACTAAGTCATGAAAAATTAACTGATAGAGAACATTACCAGTTGATAAAAAAAAAGTCAATATTGTTTTTGCTGTCTCCTTATCGAACTTTGCTAACAAATTCGAAGATGAAGACGGTTCAGCTAGAAGCCACTTGAATTCTCCTTCGGTCAAAGAAGACAGGAAAGCAAATCTCTCCTCTTTACCCTTCAAAAATTTAACAACCTTAAATATAATATAAGGTTGAGAAGATAGGTAAAGTAACCTTATGAAGAAATACATCGTTTGTTTTATACTGAAAACTGGAGTGCGAAAGTCGATTATTTATAATTTCAAACAAATATTCATTCGAAGAATTTCTAAAAGCTAAGCGACTAAGATTAGCTAAGCAATCGAGATCCAACTGAAGTAAACGTTATTGAAAAGTTTAGATTAGATTTCTCACCTGTAGGTTTCTCTTCCCCAAAACGGATTCGTCAAAGTTCTCTATCATCTGGGATAAGGAGTAAAGTCGATCAGTTTCGAAGTCACGAATTCCACTCCCATTACGAATCTAAACCGACTGAAATTTTGACATTCCACAATCATACCATAAGATTCAGAACAGCTTCTGGTAGAGCTCCTAGCTCTTTGTCATAGTAATCTACAAATGCGTCTTTGTCTCTCTTTGAGAGCTTCTTATTTCCATCTCGTGTTATAAGGGAGAGGTGAACAAAATTAGGAGGCGACCAGTTGAAAGCTCTGAAAAGATGCACAGTAAACTCAAACTATTCGTTATAAACTTGTATAATATCGCATGTTTGCCCGTACTGCTCAGCCATTCCAAACCACGGATCACATGAGAAATCTTCATAAATCTTGATGGAGCAATTAAAAAAGAAAAAAAGCTTATAAACCTATCATCGATTACGTTCGCTAAATGATATGTAGGGAAACCATCAGATTTTAAAATAATCATATCGCTCTCATCCAAGGTCTGAGTTATATGGCCAAAGACTTGATCCTGAAAACTTGATTGAGTACCAAGAAAATACCAATCGCTTACTTCAAAAGATACTTCCTGCTTATCCAATCGAAACCTCACGACATGTTTCTCACCATTTGCTGCTCTCATTTTTGATTCTTGCGACCCCAAACTCAAGCATTTCCTGTCATACTTTGGAATAGCATTACGACGAGCAGCATCCTTACGTAGTAACGATAGTCTCTACAGAAAATTATGACGAACCAAAACTTAAGTTACCTCTTCACTGCAGAAGCATCTGTAGGCATGCTTAGTTTCAATGAGTTGCTCTACACCATCTTTATATTTCTCCAAACGTTCTGATTGGTTGTATGGACCGTAGTTTCCACCTTTCCTTGGGCCTTCGTCCTCATTGAGTCCATAATAATGTAATACGTTATGAATCTAAAAAAAACCTTGAAAGTGAAGAGGAAGATTACAAGTTATACCTGGTCAACACTAGATCCCACGAGTCTTGCTTGATCAGTGTCTTCAATTCGAAGGATAAACGCTCCAGCGTGATGCTTAGCAAAAAGGTAATTATAAAGAGCAGTTCTCAAACTTCCTAAGTGCAGGTTTCCGGTTGGACTTGGAGCAAACCGTACCCGGTAGGCTTGTCGAAACAGTCGCATTTCAACTACTTTCAACTACCGACTATTTTAGATTTTTGAGAAGCAGTTGGTTTTAACTTAGTCGATTATCACGGAAAGTAGTCGACTACAATAGCATCTTCTGTTTAACTATTTTAAAGTTTTTTCATAATATTTCGCAATAGAGCGTGGTTTGCATTCACAAAGTTTTTTAATCAAGAAGAATCAAAGAGTATATGAAGTATATGAGTTATTTGTGGAACCTTGTTGTAGTTTTATGCAGAACATGCGTACGATAGATATTTTGAATAATTGATATCAACGACTAATTATTTCCTTCAAACAAACTCTATCTCTACATAATTGGCTGTGCTAATGACTGTTTGCGTATTTTACGTACTTTCAACCCTTTCTCTTCACGGATCATCCTTGTTGAGTAGAGTTGAGTTGTTCTTAAATAAATGAAACTCCAGCAAGTAAGGCGCAACTTTTCTTTTTAATAAGGTATACGCTCAGGAGCGGTTGTTTTCTTACTACTGTCTTTGAAATTTACTAAACTTTCTACAATGTTCGACGGGCTTGTTATTATCTTTATATATGATTATCTGAACTCTGAACTGTTTTCATTAGTTGTGGTATGCTCTTCCTGCTCAGGATATCTCTCTGAACGTTTTTCGTTCGTCTCTCATGGTTTTTTACTATCAATGAGCTCATGAAAATTATACAAAAGTTATATTTCTAGTATGTAATTTGAGAAAACAGTTCAGAGACGCATAGTAAGTACATGATATGTGAAGGCAAATGGAATGAACTGCTATAGATAAAGCGAGAAGAATCCCAAGAAAAAGACGTTTAATGAAATCTGAAATTATGGCGGTAGTCTTGAATGCATCAGTTCTCACCATATGCTGGTAAATTGGCAAAAACTGTAGACATTTGTTGTATTTTATTGATAAGCTTCAGTATATATTCTATGTTTAGTATGTAGAGAACATAAATAATGCTGAGCAAAACGATGATTGACAGTGATAATGCCTAAATTGCATTAGGGAAAGTTTACTTGAAATTAGTATTACGTGATATGCTATGAAAGGCCTAAGAGACAAATGCGATCTCAGGTACGTAGTGATACAGAGGAAGAAAACGGCTAACATTCCTGAAGCAAAGGTTAAAAAAGCAACGGCAAAGTCCACTAGTCGTACTCCACACCCTACAAAGATAAAAAATTAGCTTGTTTGATTATGATATAACCTTTCAGAAGATATGTGAAATAGAAAGCATTGATGATAACTGTCAGAGAGACTGCAACCCGGATGGCAAACTGTAAGAAATTCTTCGTTAACAAAAAAAAAAGTCCTTTCTTCACAATCAAACTATAACTGCGTAAGTAATTGACTTTTCCTTCGTCGTACTCTGGGGTAGACTCTTCACCATCGGAAGAACTTTCAGATCCTTGTTTGATGAATGTTTCTGAGCGGTTTCGTGACGATGACATACAGATGATGCGACTGCTTCAAAATATAAAAGTTCAAGCTTATCGTTAGAAAGTTTTTTTGAGGAACAGAAACTTCGGAAGTATAACGAAGACTAATTGATTTAAAGAATTTTATAGCAAAAAAACTTAGATAATGGAGTAGGCGAGAGTGCTCATCTATTAGTTTGTCGATTCGAACAATTAAAGCTTTCTTCGTGTCGGATAAAGACCCTCAAGCAATTTCAACGGCAACAACATCAGAAGAATGAAAAAAAGACAAATATGACAGAATACTCTCTCCATAGTGTAAGTAATAACTATTAAAATCAATCGAACCTGTGTCGAGACCGATGATTGAACAAGAACAAAAGAGCAGACGAACACGATGAGACAGTCGTCTGTAAAAGGATTTTTTGAGTTTCAAAATATTTTTTATAATTTAAATATAAAGCAAGTTCTGGATGTATTTTTGAGGCAGAACTCAAGAGAAAAACAACCATTAAGGTAAATAAAGCTTCAATGATAATTATGCGATGAATTCGAGGAATAGATTTTCAGACAAGATGCAGTTGAAGTTACTCTAACAGAACTTCAAAAGATTTTTGGAAAAGACAACAGTTCGTTACGCCCACGTTTTCTCGAAAGAGGTTTGATGTTTCTGTAGAACTCAAAGCTCTCATTCTGACGAGAAAGTCTTCTATAGAACTGAGATATGTATATGAATAATCTCATAAGCTTAAATACTGGTTGCAATAGTGTAGCAAGATCGAAGTTAAGATCCATTGATTTGCTGAAGGACAGGACTGAAGAAATGAACTGATCTTTTCAGTTTTTTTTTCGACCACCTGTTTTGTTAGTATATAATATTCTTGGTAGATCATCTGTAATAGGGCTTTTGAAGATTCAAGTCTGTTCAAACGTTGGAAAATCGGTTCGTTGATCGTCATATTGTTCTGACTCTTCTGTTCCGTTGACGCAGATGCTTTGTTCTTTCAAAAATTAACTTTTAAATGAAAACACTTCTAACACAACAGAGCCCAAAAAATAATTCAATTTTTGAAACACCGCTTTCATAAAACGCTTTCGAAGAAAGAAAAAAGCCGTAGTTTCCATTTTGTTGTAGAGACATAGCCATCCTCTGATTTTCAGTCAACCTCAAGCATTCATTTTGCTTTTCGTTCTTTGTTTATTGTTTGGAAGTTTACCTTCTGCTTCCTTTCTTTTTCTCCCTTTCACAAGGTGTAAGTCCGATTTTGTTCCTTTTAGAGATTCATTAAACTATCCGCCATGTGAGAGGAAATGTTACTCTATGGGAGAATTGATGTCTTGAAGTGAAGGAAAGAGAAATACGCTTCCGGAAGACTCTCTTACACATCTCTTCTCTTCTAACGCAAAACCAACAGAAGTGGGATGAAAAACTTCAAAAGTGTTATAGTTGAAATGGAATCCATTTTGAGTGTATGAGCTTTGACCAAAGAAGGTGGGAAGGTGAAAAGGATATCCGAATAGAATCGTCGTCCAATGCTACCAAGCTCATTCATACATCTTCTTTCATCTAATAAGATGAAAACAACAACTTTCACACTTTCTTATGATTCCACAACTTTTCCGTGTCATTCTGTAAAGTTGGTGTTTTTCATTAAAATTTTGAGATTTCTATAACTATTGGTTTGTGAATTAAAAATTCCATTCTTCTCATAACATCGGATTTCTTTCGTCGGATGAGGAAGAATGCTATGGATTGGCCAAAAATCTCCTTTGGAACAAAAAAAGATTTTCTGGAATCATTCTTATAAAGTTCTGTCAGAAATGTGCTTATCTATCGCACACGCAATTAGGGGCCGGCTTATAAACTGTTGTATTTCCCTTGCTCTTTCCAGTTTCTTGTCCTTCTCTTTCTCTATCTTACACTCTTTCTCTCTGTTTCTCTCCGTGTGTTTATAAGTCCAGATACTTTTGCTTTCTACCTCATCTAGCAGTTCTTGCTTTTCAAGTCTTCTTTATTTAGATGCTAGAGCTAATATTTTACTTCGTTTGACTTCTTTTCTCTTGGAACTCGATAGAAAACGTTTATAGTTCTAATTTCTATTGAAAATACATGTTCCCTGTTCGAAACATACTTGTATAGCTTAGAAAGCTCTAAGATTCTTCTATTCATTGAGCATTTCCTCAATTCATAATTTGAACTTTTAAAATATATTTTCTTTTGCAAATTATTCTGCAAACACAAACTTCATTTGCATTTCCCTCAGAGTGAAGTTATTTTTATACCAAAATAATATGATTTCTCGACATTTCACTTTTCCTCAGATAATGAAGATAGTAACTGTTTGTTTCTTAGCATGGAAATCTTGGTACCATTTGGCTTTGCATGTTCTTCTCAGCTTCCGCAAATAAAACTTTGAGTCTCTCCGTTTTGTTTTTATATTCCATTAAAAGCATTAGCATTCAATCAATTTCCATCAAAGTCTTCTAATATTTTGCTCGGCTTCTTTTTTTTCTTGAAATCCGATTTTTGGTTTTGGACGTTCACACTTTCTTCCTGGCAATATGTTCTCCTCATGTTTTTCATGTCTTAAACAAAAGAAGATGTATTCATCAAGCACAGCCGGAAAGCAACAGTTCATTCTAATAATGACGCCATTTTCAACCTTCAATCTCAGTTCACGTGTAATTTCACATAGATTTCACGTGAGTATTCAGCATTATAACTCTCCAAAAATGGCTTTCACTCCATCTGACTGACTTTCACTGTCTTTCAAAGTAACGGAGAAGCTGATCTAAATTATTAAACTTTCTTTAGATGTCATTGTCTAGAAAGATGAAAAGATTTGGAGAGTCTCACCTGCTTTTTGGTTGTTGTTAAACATACATACATATTATTCTTTTGCTGAGAAAAAACAAACTTTTCTGTCACGTCGATGTTCACAAGCAGCCCATTTACTCAAACTCTTCGTTTCTAGTATAACTTGAGCTTTTTTGCTTGTGGTTTGAATAAAAATCTTTTAAATAAGCTTGTTTAGTGTCTCTTCATCTTAGTTGTGCTTTGTCATGTCTAGTATAGCAACTATCTTTTTTCTTGAAAATTCCTATCCACCTCACCAGTCGTTTCCAAGTTGAGAAATCATTTTGAGTTCTCTCACTTTCTTTCATAGCTTCATAAATATTGCGTTTTATTGCTTGGCTGGTGTTGAACGGGTTTTTTTGCTCCTTTTAACGAATATTTTTCCGATTCGTTAACCGAATAAGGAGAAAAGTTGACCAAGTAAACTGAGCCTATCCAGAATTTCGTTGTAAACGTCAAATTAATATTTGGTGCGTTACAGATAAATGCACACAGGTGTCACTATTAAGGAGCATTGGAAGAAGAGTCAAAGATGAAAATCGTATTGTTTTCTATTTTAGGTGAGCATTGCTGATATTTCTTCATTTCATTGTGACCGATTTGATACAATAGAAGGAACTAGTAACAAAAAAATAACGCTAAGCGAAAAGGCGCAATAGAGTGGAAAACATTGAAAAGACCTGTGCAGAACCCTTCTTCAACAAATTTATAATTGTTTCATTACTGATCTAATTTTCAGTTGCTTCAACTGCTTCAGCATTCCGAACATGTCCTTCTTCCTGCACTACTTCCTTTTATCACTCCTTGTACTCCATATTAGGAACTCGCCATGTTAACGCACTTAGAGCTCCGTTCCATGAGATTATGAGAACAGAGGAAGACGCTCAAACACTTTATCGCAAAGCTAAATGGACGTGTTTGTAAGAATCAAAAATTTGAATAGCTCTAAATGGGTCATAACGTTTAGTAGTGTCACTCGTTTGGATTCCTGTTTAAAGCGATGCCCATCATCCTTCCAGAAGTCTGCAATATTGTCATCTCTAGCGCACTTCAATGATTATTGTGCGCTACTGAGAAAACCGACCAGAGGTTCTTTTAGATTTTTCTTTTTTTTCACCCAAGTTTGCAGCCGTCATGAATTATTTCACCTGTGAACGAGAACACTTGAGGAAAGTACAGCAGAACTGCGAAGAAGTTTCTGTTTCTTATGCATCAAATTTTAATGAAATATGCAGGTAAACAGTTCTTTGCTTGGTTTCTATCTTGCATTCTCTCTTCAAGAATTTTGGAAAATTACCAAAAATGTTATACAACTCAGAAACATAACTGCACGGCTGATGCTCTTGAGGTTCTTTACAAATCGAATGTTATAAACGGAAAACTAGCCATTCTAGATTAAGGAAAGAATGGACGACTCATTGATGAAGACGTTTGAGACTCTTCTGAAAATGAATGCTAATCATTTCAAAATTCCATCAAAATGCTCCGTGGGTTTACGTAGGCATCGTTTGAGACACTTCGATTATGATGATGAGGAAGACAATGTTGATTACAACGAAAGCGATGTAAGTTGTTAAAAAGCTTTGCAACTCCCTATTTCACTTTTAGAGTAACGGTGAGAGCACTCATGATTCACCATATGTGCAAAATTTGAAAGCCTTGGAAGCACGCAACAGTCGACATGGCGAAAACATGATAACACCATCAACAGAAAGCCCCGATTCCATTTCAACCTACGCTATAGACACAACGGAATACTCCACGTCAACCTTTCCAACTCTACCAGAAAGTAATGTGAAGAAAAAGCATTCACTATCTTTAGAATATCGCCATGATATCGAAAGCGATGAAGAAGCAGAGCAAGCCGACAAAGATGAGGATAATCCGAAGTTATCACCTCGGCCACGATGGATTGGTGACGTCCCGTCAACTTCATCTATTGAAACAACAACCCATCAAGAGGTTATTATTCATCGGGAAATGTCACCGGTATCTCGCATACCAGAGAGTTCAGCAGCTTTCTACACATTTATATCATACTTTTTAGTAGTAGCTTTAATAACAATAGATTTACTTTAACTGATCAGCACACAATCCTTTCTTATTACTGGTAATAGCTCATAATAACGATAAGATTGCATTTTACATAGTTGTATATGAGATGAATAAACGAGAACAATTTATTACGTCTGTTATCAGTGTATTAATAAGAAGAGAGAATCGAATGCAACCGCTCTTTGCGCTAGTATCATAGAAATGAAAATTCAAACTTGGAGGTTTCTTAGCACGCGTGGAATCATTAAAAACACGTGGGCAATATTTATATTACAAGAAACTATCTGAAATTTCTCCCTGCATTGTAAAACCTCCCATTTTGTTAATTCATATACGTAAATAATGAAAGAATAATTAATTTGATGTATCAAAGATTTATTTTCCCTACCCCCAGATTTTTTTAAAAAAAAATACGCAGATGGCAGCGAGTGTAATTTCAAAAGAGGGCATGGCATTATATATACTCAAAGGGTGGCACGCGTTCGAAAATGTATTAATGCTCATACAATTTATAGATTATTTCGAGGAGTTTCATATTGTTATCCAAACCAAGATTTATCTTCGGTTTCTCATTTCATTCATCCAATTTGTTTAAGACTTCAATCGCACAGTTCAATAACAAGACATCGAAGTTAAATTTCAAGGTTTAAGCCTTCTTAAGTATTTCCATAAGTGTACGATTAGTCAGAGCACTATCGGAGAACACAACAAATGTTCGCTTCAAATACTAACAACGAAAAGGTGCTGGAATGGAAAGAAGGTGATAAGTAAGATATTTATCGTAATAGCCTTCTCCATTATCGTATTCAGAGTACCATATTTGGCTTTCTCAAAAACATTAGAAAAGATTGAAAATGAGAGTTCACGGTATGAGCCATATAACTAATATCTCTATGTTTTTTTTATTTTCTAGACTTAAAATTATTGAGATTCTTTCCAAGTTTTTCGCAAGAGTGATAGATCTATCCCCACAAGATCTACCAGCTTCTGTTTATTTGTGCGTCAACCAATTAGGACCAGCGTACGAAGGTTTAGAGCTCGGAATTGCTGAAAACTCTCTCATCAAAGTAATTCAAACATTTTTGTACGGTTAATGTCGAAGTTCTAGGCTGTCGCTCAAGCTACTGGCAGAAAAATGGACAAAATTAAAGAAGATTTGGCTGTTAAAGGAGATTTAGGTTTTTCCAATAGTCTTCCAATTTGTGTTTAACGAACGTTTGTTAGGTATTGTTGCTCAACAATCTCGTACGAATCAAAAAATGCTTTTCAAACCAGCACCTTTGACTGTTCAGGCAGTTTTTGCTAAGTTGAATCAGATTGCCAAGCTTTCAGGAGCTAATGTGAGAACCAAATCTCAAAATGAGCAAAATTTCTTTTTCAGGCTATGAACAAGAAAGTGGAGTTGATCCAATCTCTACTTGTCGCTTGTCGAGAATCGGAGGCGCGTTTCCTCGTTCGATCACTTGGAGGTTCCGTTTTCCTAAAATTAGTCAGCTATTGTATCACTTATGTTAAGGAAAATTAAGAATAGGATTAGCTGAGCAAAGCGTTTTGGTAGCTCTAGGAAATGCGTTCACAAATCATAAGATTTCTAAAGAAGGTAAAGGCGAATGAGTTAAAATTGATCTGTTCTTGTAGGATTGAAACTCTCATCGTCGAAGTTTGATGAGATGAAAGCTAATGATGTTCTCACACTTAAAACAACATACTGGTCAGGGGAATAACTCATTCGCCTGATTTTCTTTAATTTCAGCCAGTGCCCCAACTACGATAAGATTATTAAAGTAGCTCTGGAGGAGGGATTAGAAAATATCTCTGAAAAGTGTAAACTCACTCCTGGTATAAATAGTTGGTATCGATCCTATTCACGAGGTTCTGTTAAGGAGTTCCGTTAAAACCCATGCTTGCTCATCCGACGAAAGGCATATCTGAGATTACACGGAGATTTGGAGAATCAGAATTTGCTTGTGAATGGAAGTATGATGGAGAAAGAGGACAGGTTAAAAAAAATATTTGTGCTCAAGTTACCTCTGTTTCAGGTTCATTACTGTACCAATGGTGACGTTCATATTTATAGCCGTAATCAAGAAAACAACACTTCTAAGTATCCTGACATCATTGAAAACGTAATTCTCAATAGGTCTGCGAGTTCACCGATGATGTTATTCAGATTAAGCAGTGTATGTCCGACGAGGTTCAAAGTTTCATAGCAGACGCCGAGATCGTTGCGTGGGATGTTGAGAAAAAGTCTATTCTTCCTTTCCAAGTTTTAACCACTCGTAAAAGAAAGGTACACTTGATCAATGGTATATCGGGAAAAGTTATATTTTAGAATGCCGGTGATTCCGAAATCAAGGTGAAAGTCTGCGTTTTCCTGTTCGATCTGCTTTACTTCAATGACGAACCGTTGGTTACGAAATCGTTTCGTGAGCGAAGAGAAACACTACGCAACAACTTTAAAGTAATTTGATTATTAGGTACAATCCTAAAATATCTCTTCAGACAATTGAGGGACTTTTCCACTTCGCAACTGATTTGGATTCTACTGATACGGATGAAATTAATGTGTTCCTAGAAGAAGCTATCAAGGTTTTGATACACTGAAAAGCTGAAAAGTTTCGATTTTCAGGGTAACTGTGAAGGTCTCATGGTCAAGACATTAGACGAAAATGCTACTTACGAAATCGCTAAAAGATCTCATAACTGGCTGAAGCTGAAAAAAGATTACCTTGATGGGGTTGGGGATACTCTTGATCTCGTTGTTATCGGTGCCTTCTATGGAACAGGTGGACTCGAGTTTGTTGACTATTAAGTTCATGAGATGTTAAGGTAAAAGAACTGGTGTTTATGGTGGATATTTGCTAGCTTGCTATAACCAAGCAGGAGAGGAGTATCAAACAATTTGTAAAATTGGAACAGGATTTTCTGATGCAGACCTCAAAGTTCAGCACGAGTTGCTATCACAACATATCATTGAAAAGGTAAGTATCTTCAGAACAGCTGATTTTTGAGCTTCAGAATTCCCAGCCAAGATCATATTATGCCTACGATGAAACTTTGAAGCCTGATGTTTGGTTTGATCCAGAAATAGTTTTTGAGGTGAGTTTATAATTGTGAGCTCAGTTGGAAATTGGTTAGATCTGAAAAGGAAATTATTTTTCCATGATGCGCATTATCCTCTGTTTGCTTCCGCAGTTTCGGAGATAATGTCATTTAAATTCTCCCGAAATTATTACTCTGCTGTTCAGGTTAAATGTGCTGATCTCTCAATATCTCCTCGCCATTTAGCCGGTAAAGGTCTTGTCGATAGAGAGAAGGGTATCTCTCTGCGATTTCCCAGATTTTTGAGAATAAGAGACGATAAGAAAGGAGAAGATGCAACCTCAGCCGAGCAAGTTGCTTCCATGTACAACAACCAGGATCAAATTAAAAACCAAGTGTCTGAGAAAATTGAGGACGACGAGTTCGAATACTGATCTTATTAATGTTCTTTACACTGGTGTAATGATGAGCTATTTACGGATATGTGACGGTTATCTTATTATTATGGAATATCATACATGTGTTTAGTTTCCCTGTTAATGCAAGTAAATTGTGTTTTTATTGTTTTTTTTTCTTGAAAATCAGGGTTGCTTATCCTGCATATCTCAACAGACTCAGTTTGTTTTCACATTCATATTCAGAAGCATATCTGTCTCGTTCTCACATTCAAACTGGATTACAGCAAGCAGAGTATGTATCATTTCATTTAGTCAGTTAATTTTCATTTTTAAGGTGTGCCAACAGCTCAGTTAGAGCCTCCTGAGGAGCAGAGAAGAAGATTCGAAATCGAGTGTGAATTCGTTCAAGCTTTAGCCAATCCGCATTACTTGAATTGTTCGTATCAGTCAGTTAGAAGTCATATCACAGTTGTTTCAGACTTGGCTCAGAGAGGTCATTTTAAAGAGGAGCATTTTGTAAATTATTTAAAGTATTTGTTGTACTGGAAAAAACCAGAGTACGCCAGGTAAGTCTAGCACAAATTTAATCTATAATTCAGTCACTGTATTCATAGAACTCTGAAATATCCCCAGTGCCTCCACTTCCTAGAAGCTGTGCAAGAGCCTGAGTTCCGTGAGGCCATCCAAGCAGGTATGTTGGTCTAGGGGTTTGAGGTTTTCAGCTTTGTAAATTGTAGGTGCGCCGGCTAAATTCATCGAAGACCAGCAAGTATTGCAGTGGCAGTATTATCTTAGAAAGAGACAAAGACTCTATGTAAGTTCTCAACAAAAATGTCAAACCTCTGGTTTTTAAGGAACAAGCTGAAGTTGTCGAAACTGACATGGCCATCGAAGAAGCCATGGATGAAGATTTACCAAAAACAGAATAAAACCCTTCCTAACACCTTTTATATTTTGTATGTTTAATTACATTGAACTCATAACAATTTTCTTAGAATTTTCACTTTTTTGATGTCTTTTGGTTTATGTACTGAGGAGAACCCTGTTGATCCTCCTTCTTATTGTGAATCTTGTGTGATCTTCGCACAAGAGTTTCAAAATAAAACTACTCGTATACACACGGTTTGTTACTCAAAAGCCATTCACATATTGGAAATTATGATTTAGAAATCTGAATCAGAAGTTCTGGACATGATTCAAAACATCTGTGACTCCATGTTCTCTTATAAGGTGGGAGTCCAAATCGTAGACTCGATATCGTCCTGTTACAGATACACAAAGAAAAAAAAGGTGTAGGCCGCTTCTCTAAAGAAGAAAGTGAGACAATGCAAGTCTTGAAGAAATTGCGTTCTCAGGGAGTTAAGGTAACTAAATATATTTTCATCCCCTAGCTTTTATCGTATACCTAAAACCTTCTCCTATCCCAGTTCTGTTCAATCGTAACAAAAGTTTGACAAGTTAATTGGCTTATGCCCTTTCCGCTACCAGTCTAGATGAATAATGCAAAACCTGGTTCATGCCGTATGATTGTGTCCACTGAGTCGTTTGGCGGTGTCATCTCTATCCTAATTATCCTCATCCCCTCGTCTTGCATGAACTGGTCTTCAGTTAAGTGAGATGAGAGGAAATGTTATAGGAACTACTTTATAACAATGGGGTATGATAGGAAAGGTAATGTTTCCCTTAATCTTATAGTGCTCAGAAGAATCTAGTCTCGAAAATTTTTTTTTATCCGGTATTGTCAAGTTTACCTTCTAACTAGTTCCATCTGAATCCTATGCTTTTCCATTTGATTTTTCTGGTAAACAATTGAGCTGATATCGTATCTTTCGTAATTTCTGAGAAGAAGCTTGAAGTTAAAATAACTTTCATGAATTGGGTCCCTGACTGAGTGTATGAGCGGACTGTTTGTAGAAAAATCCGAAGTGGTTTGATTGTTGAAGTCCTGTCTGGTATTATTATGATGTTATAATGGACTTCTCGCGCCTCTGGCTATTGCTGAACCAGTTTCACTTGACTATCCGTCTGCGTCTCTTTTACATGAGCTTATTTTGCTTATGGCTTTCCGCTCCATCTGTCGCAAATGTTGTTTTTTTGTTGGACTGTCAATTATGGTATTGTGCAATTTACTTGTTCATCAATTTGTGCGGTACAGTAAGCGTAAAAGATATGTCCTGGATCCGGGTGGTTTCTGTGGAGTTTCGTGATAATTGAAAATGTTCGAAAACCTTTCATGCGATTTCGGAAGGCCATCCTAATTACAGACGTTTTTGTATTGAACACTTGTCTCCTTTTCTACCTTTCTCTTTCCGGATTCTCTGAACCATTAATTGACTAGACGTTTCCCCAATCTAGTTGAACCAATAAGTTTTCAATTATAAAAGTGCAATTATTTAAGGTCGATTTGGGATTGCCTGAAGATATGTGGGATGCCGTTGGGGTTGAAGTTCAGTTGTTGAAACAACGATGTGAACTTATTATTGCCGAGTATGAAGATGAAATCGTTGAATGGTTTTTATCTGATCGTAACATTAGCTTCGAAGTGAGTTCTCCCTAGATTTTTGAAACAATTGTTTGATAAAATAATAACTCGTGATTGCTCGAACGTCTACCCGTCATCACGAGTAGTTTTAAATAAACACAGTAATGTGCGGGAGTTCAGAGAGTTTACAAGTCGTTTAAACAACTTATTCAAGGATTTTCTGTGTCGACAACGTTTTCTGGAAGATAGAAGAGCGGATATGTCTTGCCTTTCATCTCATTCCCAATCATTAGCGCCTAAGGTGGACTTGTGAATGATTACTTGTTTTATTTATTGTTCAACTAAAGTTCGTGCAAATAAAACATCAGAAAAGATGGTTCAGATGATGAATTTCAGCTGAGGTCAAACGCTTCATAGTTTAACTTCAATGTTTGTCTAGATACTGATCTTCTATGCCAAGGAAATAGAGGGCTCTCCTGCAAACCGGCTGAATTTTCCTATTTATTTGTGACTCCGGGATGTTTTGCCGTAGTATATGAGAGTAGTGAATAAACCTAAAACCGGCTTAGCCAGTAGAAATATTTCTGGATGTAAGTACATGCTTCTCGTCAGATGAGAAAAGATAATTCTGCATCAGAAGTCACGGTTGAAGTTATAAAGACATTAGATTAATAGCTGAAAAGTGTTTGGTTATCTACATTTCCTTTACTTTGTTTCATAAAATACGAAGGTGCTTATGATGTTGTTGCATTTTGGGTTATGAACCTGTTCTCATGTTGTTTTCAAATTTCAAACGCTGACACTAACCCCAACCTGACATCAGTTGCAATAACATAATAACGAAATTCAATTCCTTAGATGGCACTATGGAAGATTGGTGAAACCAGTCCCCTCATTTCTATAATGATTCAAAACGAATGTACCGTATTACAGTTTTTCTGACTTATTATTGACAATAAAAGTGTTTGTTGCATTTTTAAGATGGTTGAAAGAGTAAAAAGATAGATTATTGATTGCAAAAAAGATAGTCTGTTGAAGAAGAGCTGAGAGGAATGCAACCGCGCTGTGGCATTGAGCAAGTTGAAATGAAAATGTTATGACGTGTCTACTCTACTTGCGATATGCAAATTGATGTATATAGGATGCGTATATACGAATGATAAACGTGATCTACGGTTGCTCTGTCATTTCCTCTATCTCGAAGTTTTGAGATCCCCCGCAACACCGGTTTTGCATATTTTTACGTCTGCCAGAAACCTCTGGTCAGTTGGCTAATCGGAGACTGTTTGAACGATCAGGTATGACTCGTTCGAGAATCAGCTGAGCGAGGAGGCTCATGTGCGGGACAGCTCAAAGCAGCTTGAAGAGTGTAAACATAACGAATCTAAACGTAAAATCATCAAGTTATCAGCGCCTGAATGAGTAAAGAGATAAAGAGAGAACTGAGAGAAAGAGAGAGAGGAAAAGAAAGGGAAGAGAGAAGAGTTTATGTGTAATTCTGAAAATTGACCACAATGTGTGCCTTGTGACTATACAGGCGGCGAATTTGCATGTCACGAAATGCTCTCAACACACCGGGCGCTTTAAGCTTACAACTTGAGCCATCATTAAACGAAACGAATAAACGTTTCTTAAACAGTTTGTTTGTAGATTTACACTAGATGATTTGAAGCTCACCCAGCTCTTAAATGAAAAGTAAATTTCTAAGCGAAGTTCTTGTTTGTTTGTCAACAATGCATTCCATGAATACATATACTTTCTTTTCATCACAAAAGCATGTTCAAAATGACGTTTTCTTCACGCCTGTCAAATCTTGAAAAATCAAGAAAATTGTTTTTTCAAGCAGACTGTTTAATTTGAAAGGAAAAAAATTGTTTGTCGAAGCTCATGGCACATTTGAAAACAGCTTGTGTGGGAATACTGAATAAATCAATAAAGATCTGTTTATATATTTATGTATAGTATTTACATATAAAACATTCTAGAACATAATATAAAGTAAAGAGTTTTTATGAGAGAAGAATGAACCGATTTGGAACCGAATGTCAGATCTTATGAGGTAGTTAGTAGATGGAACGACAATTATTATAAGGATTGCTTAACTATTATTATTATTATTATTTCTTTTTCTTCTGATACCCTGACAGCGAATGTTTGGAAACACATGGACAGAAAGTCAATACGTAGAAAACATGGCGGTAACCTCTATTTAAACATATTTTTTGAAAAGACGAAGAAGAAGCAAAGGAAAGAACGGGCTAGCAAAGAATCATGATGGAATATGACAGGAGGAAGCTTCTTGTAGCTTCTGATGATCTGTTTCGGACTTGATGAAGTAGCTGAGATTGTGCTTGGATGATAAGAAAACAGCTTACATCGAACATTATGTGACATGAAGAACAAAAAAGTTAGGAACTAGCAGAAGAGGGAGCGGAGGAGAAAGATCGTCGGTCATTTTTAACGGCTAGTATTAGAATATTATTTTGTTTATATTAAAAAATATGTGTTTGAAACTACTGGAGAACCGAGATGAAAAATCAGGGTGCATGGCATT